AACAAGGCGAGAGAGCTCATCAAGACCAACAGGGCGGCTGCACACGAGAAGTCCACGTGGCAGCCAACCTATGTGGAGAAGGTAAGAACTGGTCCACGACAGCAGCAGTTCGCTGCAGTCCAGTCGGACAATGGAGATAACCCAACAGCCACTCCAGCATCAAGTGACGGAGATCAGGTGGCTGCTGTCCAGCCGCGAAGCAACAACAAGTCCCGCAACAATGGGAAGGCGAAATCCGCATTGCAGGCCGGAAATGGACAGCCAGTGCAAGTTCCATGGGTCAAGTTCGGCTTGACCGAGGCGGAGTACTAGGTCCGCGGCCGCTACGGCAGCTGATATTGGTGCAACAACACCAAGCACAAGACCTCCCTGTGCCAGGATCAGGGCAAGGAGGATGTGCGACCCCGCCTCAACTCGGGAAACTGAGTTCCGCGGAAGGTGAGGCGACTCCACCTTCCGTTCCGCCAAATTCGACCGCCTTGCTAGCGACCTCCTGCACATCTGGGGAGGATGCGAATGTCGCAGGTTCTCGTTACAGTTACGAGGACTATATTGTCCACTTGGTTCCACCGCTGGACCAACCGCTCCACGTGCAAGAATCTACCGCATGCACGGTTTCATCACCATCGGCAACCGATTCGGCACCTTCGCCGCCATCTATCACCGGGGATTCATCGTCGTGGTCAAGACTTGAGGTGCTCGACCCACTGATGTTCACGGACTTCAAGTGGATGCCCGTTCCCCCGACCGGACGATTGTCGAAACCGCATTGCAATGTGCTSATGGCACAACTGCGGGATTACTTGCACACTGCAGGACCAACTCCGTTGATGGACGCCGGAGTAGAGTTTGTCGACCTTCACGCTTACATTGCGAAGATCGACCGTGAGTTCAAGACGCAACGGTACGACGACATCGACGCACCATTGCTATATGTACGCATTCAGATCAGAGAGGCGACCTGCAACGCCTTGATCGATTGCGGAGCATCTCGCAACTACATTAGCCAGGACTTCATGGTGCGCGCCAGCCTTGGCCCACGCGTCCGGAGGAAGTCCCAGCCTACGCAAGTCACGTTGGCGGACGGTCACACGTACAAGTCAATCGACCGGTGCATTGACAACATCCCAGTGTACTTTGCCCCTCACGCAAGTGAGGCGGTGTCCTTTGACATTCTGGACACCAAATTTGACATGATTTTGGGCATGTCATGGCTGCGAAGCGAAGATCACCCGGTGAACTTCTTCCACCGCACCGTTCACATTCGTGATCAGAACGGAGTACTAATTCCATGCACGGTGCCTCTTCCTCATCCTTCGATCAGCTGCCACGTGGTATCCGCCGCAAGCATGCGAGCTTCCATCATCAGAGACGACATCGAGGAGATGGGGGTGTGTTTTCTCCACGCCCTCCCGCCCCATGACGCTTCATCGACGGACTCACCTTTGGATCCACGCATCACCGAGTTTCTCGACGCCTACAGCGACGTGTTTGAAGGCCCGCACGGAGTAGTACCGGATCGACCCATCCGCCACGACATCATCCTCGAGGACRGGGCCGTACCTCCGCGCGGTTGAATCTACCGAATGAGCGAGGAAGAGTTAAGTGTGCTTCGGGCACAACTCGACGACCTTCTGGAGAAAGGCTGGATTCGGCCTAGCTCATCGCCATACGGTGCTCCTGTTCTCTTCGTCCGGAAGAAGAACAAGGATTTGCGGTTGTGCATCGATTATCGGAACCTCAACGCGCAGACGATCAGAAACGCCGGCCCTCTCCCACGCATCGACGATCTTCTCGAGCGACTGGGCGGCGCCAAGTTCTTCTCCAAGCTCGATCTCAAGTCGGGATATCACCAACTCGAGATTCGCAAGGAGGACCATTACAAGACCGCGTTTACGATGCGATATGGGCATTTCGAATGGCTGGTTATGCCATTTGGCCTTACGAATGCCCCGGCCACTTTCCAAGCGGCTATGACAACGGAGTTCCGACACATGCTGGATCGATACGTACTTATCTACCTCGACGACATCCTGGTGTACAGCCGGAGTTTGGAGGAGCATGTGGAACACCTGCGCACCGTTTTGGAGCGGCTACGACAAGCCAAGTACAAGGCCAACCGCGACAAGTGTGAATTCGCACAACAGGAGCTGGAGTACTTGGGACATTACGTGACGCTGCAAGGCATCCGTCCGCTTGGGGACAAGATCGAGGCCCTACGAGTATGGCCCGAGCCCACCAACACCACGGACGTTCGTTCATTCATGGGATTGGCGGGCTACTATCAGCGATTCATCACCGGATACTCAAGGATTGCTGCACCTATGACGAGGTTACAGTCGCCAAAGGTGCCATTCGTATTCGATGACGACGCACGCCGGTCATTCCAAGCACTTAAGACGGCTATGCTCATGGCACCCGTCCTTAGCATCTACGACCCCACCCTGCCCACGAGAGTGACTACGGACGCTTCCGGCAACGGCATTGGGGCAGTCTTGGAACGCAGTCTTGGAACAGCACGACGGCGAAGACTGGCACCCTGTGGAGTATTTCAGCCACAAAGTGCCTCCCATCAACTCGCTTGATGATGCAAGGAAGAAGGAGCTGCTCGCATTCGTCATGGCTCTCAAGCGATGGCGGCACTTCCTCCTTGGGCGTCGTAGGTTCACATGGGTTACGGACAACAATCCATTGACCTACTACAAGACRCAGGATGCGGTGAGCAGCACGATCGGACGATGGATGTACTTCATCGACCAGTTTGACTTCACACCGGAACATCTTCCTGGCCTTTCAAATCGCGCAGCAGATGCACTCTCGCGAAGACCTGATCTTTGCGCTATGACACATCATGCCTTTGCATTCGACGAGGAGCTTCAGCGACACTTCATCCGGGCATGCGAGTCTGATCCGGACTTCGCCACGCTGTATGCACAGCTCTCTTCGGATCACCCGCCGGCCAGCCACTATCACATTGCCACGGGTACTTGCTCCTCCACTCGAGAGGCAAGGACTTACTATGTGTCCCACGCGACCGCCGTCTTCGGACTCGCCTCCTCGGCGAGTATCATGATTCGCGACTCGCCGGCCATTTCGGAGTCAACCGCACTATTGCACGGCTTCGACAACGATTCCGATGGCCCGATCTCATTACCGACATCACTCGGTATTGCGACTCTTGCGAAGTTTGCCGACGCAGCAAGCCCCGCAACCGCAATCCCTACGGCGAGTTACGCTCGATGCCTATCCCACGGGAAGCTGGTCTCTCCATTGTCATGGACGTCACCGGTCCGTTTCCCCGCGACCGGCTTGGGCACGACGGCATCCTCACTGTTATGGACCGATTGAGTAAGTACGCGCGTTTTCTCCCTTGCAAGTACTACTCCACGGCTCCCGAGCTGGCACGCCTCTTGCACACTGGTTGGATTTGTGGCCACGGTGTACCAAAAGACATAGTCAGCAACCGCGACACTCGTTTCATGTCAGCATTTTGGACTGCGCTCATGCAGGAGTCCGACACGACGATGAAACCAAGTTCGGCTCGGCATCCACAGACGGACGGGCAAACGGGGCGGGCACATCAAACCGCTCAAATGATGCTTCGTACGCTCATCCGTCCGGACCAGAAAGATTGGGTTGACCGCCTCCCCGACATCGAGTTCGCCTACAACACTTTGGTGCATCCGACGATCCGCGTGACTCCATTCGAGTTGCACCACGGTGGGCGGAAAGGCCGGATTTTCGCCGACCTTCTCCTCCCTCGACCAGCCGACATTGACGCTGCCTGCTCTCTCGCTTCCGTCTGGAAGTACAGGGAATTGTTGACTCAAACCCGCGCAAACATGCAAAAGGCTCAACTCCGCATGCAGCAGCAAGCCAACAAGCGTCGCGTACCATGTCCCATCCGCGCCGGTGATCTAGTTTGGGTCTCCGCGGAAGAATTTGCACTGGAACAGGATGTTTCACGCAAACTGCTTCCCAAGTGGTTTGGACCTTGGTCTGTGACAGCAGCCGCGGGCGATGAGCCCGATGGCCCTTCATTTGTGATCAACATTCCAGAGCATCTGACGGTCCATCCGGTCTTCCACGCCTCGAAGCTGGCAACATACACGCCAGCCAAGAGCGACGATTTTCCGGGCCGACGATCGCAGGACCCTCCTTCTATGGATGGTCATCAGGAAGTT